CATCCATCCATCCATCCACCCACCCAGTCATCCATGCATCCATCATCCATCCATCCATCCATCCATCCACTCATCCATCTGGTATCTGTCCACTAAGAGCCTCGTATAGCCCGTCACTGAGGGAGCGGTGGATACAATGATGGAAATACTCAGTGTGCTCAATCCTGTGCAGTTGAAGGACTTGGCAGAGGGGCCAGACACTAAACAAAGAATCCCACGAAAATTTTTTAAATTACATGCTTATTCCTGCATGGGAAAATGTCGAAGGGAGTTTTAAAAATGTTTATCAAGGGACAGGCCGTGAGAGCCGGCACAGGGTCAGGGACACTGCCGGCCGCCAGCAAGGAAGCAGGCTGAGTACCCCTCCTCCTGCTCCTGCTGCTCAGGAGACAAAGAAGAGTTGGGGGGCCTCCCCATCACGGACACAGCATCCTGGATGCCAGGAGGGCAGAGTTACTGGGCACTCGCTGAGCCAAACAGGGGCCATGCAGGCACATGTCCCAGCTGATGCTCCACCTGATCCCCCGCGAGGAATGCCAACCACGTTCCCAGTGGAGGAACCGAGGCACAGGGAGTAAGTAACTCGGCCACTTCACAGGGCCAGTCAGCGTGTGAAACCGCATCTGACTGCAGCCTCCGTGTCCTCACAGCCGAGGCCGGACCCGCGTGGCCTCGAGGCCAGACCATCCCCCATTCCTTAAGGGAGACTCGGTGAAGACAGAATGAATTGTAAGGACTCTTGCCTTCGCCTGGAAGTTCAGCCTCACTTGGTGCCAGTTGCCCCAAAGGCCACGTCTCGTTTCCCTCAGCCTCGCTACAAGCGCTGACCCTGAGGTGACTGCTATTTGCTGCTGTTGTTGTCAGGAGCCCCTTGTCTTTGCCTGTTTAAGCTCATTTCTGTCCTTTGGGTCTGGACCTGGCTCCTGGGGTTGGCTCAGCCACGCTGCACACAGCCTGCGGCGGCTCAGCCCGGCTCAGCCCGGCTCAGCCCGGCTCTGCCCGGCCCCACAGACCTGAGGTTATTGTTCTGAGCAGAGCAAGTGCTGGGGACGGCGGGCCAGTCCTCTGCGCTCACCCTGCGTGCCAGGCCCTGAGCAGCTCCACCAGCAACACCTGCCACTCAGGCAAACAGCAAACAATGCATCCCACAGGATGGAGTGAATCCTTCATGAGCAATTTCCTAGTTTATTGTAAACTATTTAATATAAACTGATTAAATCAAGCAAAGTCTGAGAAGTGAACTAGATTTCATTGCATAAAACAGCAAGCAACTTCAAAAATCTTTTAAAAAGAAACCCAAACCCCTTACTTCATGGAAAAATGGCTTTTTGTTAGATTGTTGGTTGTTTTTTTGTTGTTGTTGTTAATCCTCACTGGAAGATATTTCTTCCATTGATTTTAAAGTAGGATTTTTTTTCCTTTTAAATGTTTTTATTGATTTTAGAGAGAGAGGGAGAGATAGAAAATCGATGAGAGAGACTTCTATTGGCTCCTCCTGCACACACACCCCAACCCTGGGGATTGAGCCCCAAAATTCAGGCACATGCCCTGACTGGGAATCAAATTGGGGACTTCTTGGTGCATGGGTCGATGCTCAACCACTGAGCCACATGGGCTGGGCAATTTTCCATTTATTTTAGAGGGAGTGGAAGGGAGGGACCGGGAGAGGGGGAGAGATAGAAGCACAGATGCTAGAGAGACACATCAGTTGGTTGCCTCCCACACGTGGGATTGAACCTGCAACCCAAGCACATGCCCTTGACCAGAATCGAACCTGAGACCCTTTTGTGTGCTGGCTGACCCTCTAACCCAGGGGTCCTCAAACTACGGCCCGCAGGCCACATGCAAATACAAATATTGTATTTGTTCCCATTTTGTTTTTTTACTTCAAAATAAGATATGTGCAGTGTGCATAGGAATTTGTTCATAGTTTTTTTTTAAACTATAGGCCAGCCCTCCAACGGTGAGGGACAGTGAACTGGCCCCCTGTTTAAAAAGTTTGAGGACCCCTGCTCTAACCACTGAACTACTGACCAGGGCAGGAAAAATGTGTTTTAAATCATTCATTCATTCATTCATTCATTCATCCATTCATCCATTTTACTTTTTTTGGTGCTTTTAAGCAAAGTCTAAAAAGTCTACAAATTTGACTTGTACATGGGATACCACATGGAAAAACATAAATGAAAGAATTAAAATTTAACTTCACTGAATTTGTGTTTCTAGGCAGCACAAGTGGTCCCTTCCACCAGCAGGAGTGCCGGGTCACCTCCTGAGGGTGCAGCGGACAGGGCAGGGGCGCCTCACCTTTGAAGAAGACGAAGTTGCCCTCATTGTTTTCGTACACCGCGTCGATCCCCGGGGGCAGGCCACGCCAGAAGTAAGTGATCTGCATGGGGTACCCGTCCATGACCCTGTTGTTCCTCACCCGCCAGAACCACTGGTCCTGCAAGCCAAGCACAGGAGGCGTCAGCATCGCCCAGGCCCGAGCCGAGGCCGCGCTGCCTCGCACACCCTGAGCAGCAAGACACCTGCCCCCACTCTCCCGGGGCTTCCAGCCGCCCTCCCAGAGCTGACCCACAGGGGGTTCCAAAGGTAATGGAGAAGCACTCATCCCGGCACTGAGGTTACACCCAGGGCCTCCCCGGGGGGAGGGGGGAGGGGGTGCAGCCCAGGCCCTGCCAGGTGGAGGGAGCCAGCTTCTGAGCCGGAGGCAGGAGGGGTGGTGAGCACCACAGGGCGGGGATGGCGCCTGCCCCCACCTGCACCCAGGGCCCTGAGGTGTCGTGGAGTCCTCTGTCACCATCCACTGTGTCCTGCTGGGGCGATGAACTACACGGTCGCGGAGAATGACCAAGTGATCTTGAGAAAGCGTGAGCGCGGACCCCAGTCTTGGTCACTGCCCGCCTATTGCTCCCATAGGGCCCTGTGAAGGGGGCTATTTGGTGATGGTTTCCTGGCTGTGCAAACACGTGTGAGGGTGATGTGCTCCCATGGGTCTATTTCTTCTTTTGTTTCTCTTGCCCAAGGAGATATATCAGAAAAAAATATGGTTACGAGAAGTGTCTGAGAGTTTTATGGTTTTGAGTCTAACGTTTATGTCTCTAATGAACAATAAACTAACAAACAAAATAGAAACAGACTCATAGACACAGAGAACAGACTAACAGCTGTCAGAGGGGAGGGAGGCTGGGCGGCTGGATGAAAAAGGTGAAGGGATTAAGCAGAAAAGAGAAGCAAAAACTCATAGATGCAGACAACAGTGTGGTCATTTCCTACCAGATGGAAAGGGGTTGGGGAAGGGGGTGGTGGACACACAATGCAATATACAGAGGATGTATATCGAATTGTACACCTGAAACCTATGTAATCTTATTAACCAATGACACCCCAGTAAATTCAACAACAAAAAAAAAAGACAGATTCTGTAACTGTGTGTGGTGATGGATGTTAAAAGAATAAAGTGGGGTCCCCGTTCAGTGACGGTCCTGAGCGGAGACCGCGGGGTCCTTAGCTCACCGATCAAGAATTCCCATCCCTTGGTGTTTTTTAAAATATATTTTTATTGATTTCAGAGAGGAAGGGAGAGGAAGAGAGAGAGACATCAGTGATGAGAGGGAATCATTGATTAGCTGCCTCCTGCGTGCCCTCCACTGGGGACCGAGCCTGCAACCTGGGCATGTGCCCTTGACCGGAATAGAATCCTGGACCCTTCAGTCTGCAGGTCAATGCCCTATCCACTGAGCAATACCAGCCAGGGCCCATCCCTTTGGCTTTGACCCAAAGAACAATGTGACATTTACAATAAAAACTAAGTCCCTGCTGGATAAAGTGTAGGCTCTTTTGACTCGATGTACCCAGGGCAGTGTATCCAACTTAAATTTTTAAACATCGAATCCAAGTAGTCACCTCGATCATTTTCTATACATTTATCATGTTTTATTTTCTTCATTGACCTGTTGTTCTCTGAATATTTGCTCATGCTCCCTGCCTCCCAGGGGCTGGAGCCCCCTGTGCCATTGGGACATACCCCTGGCAGCCCTGGCCAGCGGGGAGCCCCAGACAGAGAGGAACAGCCGGCGAGGGACCGAGAGCCAGCGGTCCATGGCCGGGTGCAGGGCTGGACCCACAGGAACCCTCCAGGCTGTCCGCCCCGAGCCCTGCCCTCTGTGGGACACCACCCCTGTCACCGCCCTCTGCTCATCCTTCCCTCCCGGGAGCCTCCTCATTCTCTCTTCCTCCATTTCCTTAAACACTCAGCACAGGCATCGGGGACATTTCGAGGAAGCCCTGCCCGCTGGGTGACCTGCCGTTTGTCCCCACAGCATGCAGTGGTGTCCCAGGCCAACGGGCCATGACCGGGTCCTGCTGTGGCCGGCGGACAGGAGTCTCATGTGACACAGGCGGAGGCCGAGGTTCAATGGTGCCGTGGAGTACGGCTTTCAGCTTCCTCTCTGGTCATATTCTTTCCCCCAGAACTGCCCACAGGGCTGAGGAAACTGGGGGCCGAAAGCCTGGGGCAGTGAGCAGTGACCCACACGGAGAGAAACCGAGTCAGAGCCCTCTGCCCTGCAGCTCGGAGCGGCGAGGCGGGAGCAGAGGCGGCCACGAGGGATGGGCCCAGGGAGACACTGTGAGCGGGCAACAAAGGAGGCGAGGGCCAGGGAACGAGAGGTTGCTTGAGAGACAGGGTGGGCTGGCAGAGAAGCCCCGGCAATTACTCAGCAAGGAGCTGGGGATCCTGAGGGCGGGGCTCGGGGTCAGGAGGCTGTTGCCACAACAGGGGGTTACCAGGGCCTCGCTGCCTCCTCTGCTGTGCTCTGGGGAGTCCTCTGCGCCCCGTGTGGCTGGGATGTATGTACTGAAGTGGGGAGCTCAGCAGGTAAGTGCCTTCCTTACACTCAAAGAACATCCTCAACAAACAACGCCATTGTCACACGACAGTGACGGCTCTAACCCAGTGTGTGTGTGTGTGTGTGTGTGCGTGCATGTGTGTGCATGTATGTACGCGTGTGTGCATGTGTGTGCATGTGTGCTGGGGACCTCCGTGGCCACCTGCGCTGTGCTGGGCGATGCTGTGACGCTCCCGTCCACACTGATTGGTTTCATGGCTGCTGTGTTGCTAATCAAATAATTCCTAAATGCAGCCGGGGTCCAAGGCACGGGAGAACGTCCGCTGAGATGGGCTTTGGGCATTTATGCTTCCTGCGCCCGTCTTTAGCAGAAACACTGTAACTATTTTTAAGTTTTGAAACAAATGTTCAATTACAGAGACATTCACTTAGTTGCAGGTGTACAGCATGGCGGTTAGGCATTTATATACTTTACGAAGTGACCCCTGGCGAGTCCAGCACACAGCCATCGATGTCACATAACTGCATCATCAACAACACGCTGACTATTCCCCATGCTGCATGTCGGTCCCCTGACTGTTCTGTAACTTCTAACCTCCCTCTTTTCACCCAGTCCTCCAGCCCCACTCATCACACTGATGGGGGCGTGGGGTGTGGCTACCGCCCTGCAGGTGGGGTCCGCTGAACCCTGGGAGGGAGCACAGGCCGAGGCCCAGACCACCCCTTCCAGAGGCCTAGCTGCGTGCTTAGCTGGGGTGCCTTTCCTGTCTCTGTGTTGCTGGTTAAACCACAGGGTCATCCTGTCTTCCCAGGGACCCTCCTTCCCCCCCAGACTGGGAGCAGCCCCGCGCCTGTCTTGCTCCCGCACCGCCTCATCCTCCAGCCCCACTCATCACACTGATGGGGGCGTGGGGTGTGGCTACCGCCCTGCAGGTGGGGTCCGCTGAACCCTGGGAGGGAGCACAGGCCGAGGCCCAGACCACCCCTTCCAGAGGCCTAGCTGCGTGCTTAGCTGGGGTGCCTTTCCTGTCTCTGTGTTGCTGGTTAAACCACAGGGTCATCCTGTCTTCCCAGGGACCCTCCTTCCCCCCCCAGACTGGAGCAGCCCCGCGCCTGTCTTGCTCCCGCACCTGCCTCACTCCCGCTGCCCTCGGCGGCACATGAGGCACATTCATTGGATTGTGACATTGTGACGGCCCCTCCCGCATGACGCGCTGTGATGCCCCAGACCCTCGGAGGCCGAGCGGGGCAGGCCCGTATGAATATTTCTCACACGGATAAATCAATCAGGGTGTTGGGCGGGAAATGGCCATTGAAGGCATCGCGGTGGAAATCAGCTTTTGTGAAATATAAGGGCACTTGTTCCAATAAACGTTTGCTTTTCTCTCCCAATTTGGTCTTTGTCATTTTTCGTCTCCAACTTTATTTCTGACGTTAGTCACCCAAAGTGACACGTTGTACACACACCTGCCCTTCGGGAGAGGCCCCGAGAGCCAGCTGCGCGAGGTGAGGTCGGCCGTCCGGGCGGGGACCCACTCGAGAGACGGTGGCATCTCTTGGGGACACTGGGGACCAGTTCAATCTCCTGAGCAATGACCAGCGCCTGTGAGCTCAGGTCCTAACGCCCCGAGGAAACCCGAGCAGGTGAAGTGTGGGAAGTGGGTGCACCTGCTTTAATATTGATTGTTTTTTCTTAGAAAGACTGAAATAAGGGATATACCCATAATGAATTATTTTCACAAAGTCTAACTTATGGAATGGTTCATGATATTCAATCTCTAGATACTTATTCGGAATTCTAATCCTATAATTTATTTTTGATCTTCTATTTGATCTTTTGTTTACTGGATCATAGGGGGTGAGGTTGATATGCACAATAAAAATATCTTAACCAGTCACACGAAAAGTTTCAGGATTCAGCATAAAGGTTTCTCTGTCCTAAGGGACTTCAGAATTCTGACTGGGGAAGTGATGGCTGAGGGGACCCAAGGGGCCAGCTCTGACATCAGCTGCTGTAAGCTTCAGTTCCAGGATTTAAACGGTCTTTGCTTCATGTTCTGACCATGAAGACCTGTGGTTCACTAGCTTGTAGTGTAGCCAGGAAACACACACACACTGTTCCAGGCGGGATGTGGCCCAGCACACACTGTTCCAGGCGGGGTGTGGCCCAGCACACACTGTTCCAGGCGGGATGTGGCCCAGCACACACTGTTCCAGGCGGGGTGTGGCCCAGCACACACTGTTCCAGGTGGGATGTGGCCCAGCACACACTGTTCCAGGTGGGATGTGGCCCAGCACACACTGTTCCAGGTGGGATGTGGCCCAGCACACACTGTTCCAGGTGGGATGTGGCCCAGCACACACTGTTCCAGGTGGGATGTGGCCCAGCACACACTGTTCCAGGTGGGATGTGGCCCAGCACACACTGTTCCAGGTGGGATGTGGCCCAGCACACACTGTTCCAGGCGGGGTGTGGCCCAGCACACACTGTTCCAGGTGGGATGTGGCTTAGCAACCACCATGTAATTCCCAGTAAAACTCCTGTCCTTCAACAGGGCAGATTAACTATGCGATGCCTCTTTTTTTCTGAATA